CGAAAAGGTTACTTGTCGTACGTTACACGAGGTTTAGAATTTTGGAGCGACAGAGTCGCAAACTTCCGAACCCAACACTATATATTTACACTAAAAAATTAACATCTTCAAATTAGCAGATCCAATGTGACTTTAATAGTTTTTTTTTCATTATACGAAGTGGTGCTCCAGAACCCAACAGATCCCATTTTCCTAGTTTATTCATAATCACTGAATTTTTTAACGTTAAGATTAGTGAATATTAACTTCTATTTATTATTGCAAGGTGGTTAATGGCTAAGTTTTGCATTCATTTAACCATGAATTAGTGTACCTTAAAACCATACTGCTCAGTTTCCCGACAGTCATTTTTCAGTTAGGCTATCCAACCTACATCACAGCGTGATAAGTTAACATTCCATTAGTTACAGTTATATTTGTAAACGAATTTCACACGTCCATTAGTAACAGTTATACTTTGTAACCGAATTTCACACGGTGATATCGGTTAAATAGGCTTCATTTAATTGACAAAGTAATTTGATTATTGTAGTTAGAGTTAGGCTTATAAGGTTAGCGTATTTTATAAAAAAAAATGAGCTGTCATTGAAATGAACTTGTTTGTAAATTAAGCATCGATAAAATTCTATCTCAAAATTTTGCCTATAAACAGATTTTCATGCTCTAATAAAAAAAATTCCTGTCATAATTTTGACAGTACTTGAAATCCTCATCTAACCCTAGGCCAATGATCGACATAACCTGGCACAGAAAGTAGGGATACAACAAATTTTGTCCAGTAAGTAATTGTCGGTGAAATGATACGGCTCCAATTTAATAACAATAAATTCGGTAAATAAGGTGGTAATTTAAATAACGTAAATCGAGCTCATTATCGTGTAACGTAGTAATAATTAGGTGAAAGTTTGATTTATATTAGAAGCTGCTTTCAATTTTGGGACACCTACTTGCTAGTAACTTATTAGTTTACTTTAATTAGAGTTTTAAATCAGTTTTATTTCTTATGCGCTAAAACTGGGTTCAATCGATTTTGACATATGAACATAAAACCGGATCCAAGATCGAGGTCTAAAATGTGAGCCTTTATTCTTCTTGGATCCGTAATCCGTTTTCATATTAAATTTAATGGATATCAGGCGGGTTTTTACTATTAAATTCAGTATCCAACGGAACTCTACTTCTCATACATAAAGTTCTATTTTTGAGACGACTTTCTTTAGTTATCTGACCACTTAACCCAAATCGTTTCCCTTATCGGTAGCATTTAAATTCTGTATAAATTTATCTTCTTGTACATCACTCCAATTAATATTCTTTACTCTAACGCTTTACATCACCTTCGTGGATTTTTTTTTGTATTTCCTATCCCTTCTTAAATAACATCTCATGCCTGTCGCCTTTATATTTTATTTTGAGTGGTTAAACATGAATACATCTGGCTGTCCAATGATTATTCTTCTTTTAGATTAAAATTATTCTTGCCGCATAATAGTCCTTAAGGTTGTAATGCTGTATATTATAAACTTACCTTAAATGTAAGTTACATGTAAGATACATCTATGTAAGTCATTATAACAATAAAATATATGAACCAATAAGATTTTAATCTAATTAGCGGATAAATCCGTCATCCATCAATATCTATTTATCCGGATAATCCGACAAATATTCGGATAATTATCCGGATATCAATAGTAAAACGAATATCCGATAGATAAATGGATAAACGGATAATGGATTGGAACTCTAAATCTAATATTTCAGATATTATTGTAACCAAAGGCATTCTCTCATAGACATATTGATTTAAAAATTTTAAAAAAATATAGCATAGCCAAATATTATTATATAAAGATGTTGATAATGGTTTATGATGTTAATGCAGTAATATAATCAGAATAATAGAGTGAGATGTATATGTCGCATCTGAAGTAGCGATTTATCTAAAGTAGCCACTTTATATATCTAAAGTAGCGCCCTGGCTAAAATTAAAATCTAATGCATGCATGAAGATCTAATTTCAGGGGCTTAATTTTAGTCAGGCGCTACTTCAAATAAATCGCTACTTCAGATGCGACATATATATGATAAATATATTTAAAAATTTAGTTTTATTACATACTCATATTTAAGTTACGCATTTATAAATTTATCTCTGTGAATTTACAACCTCCCACACGTTTGAATTGTATCACCAACTAATATAAAAATCGTACGTACTTGCATTACTATAGATCTTGTACACAAGTAATTAATTTGAGATGTGATAATAGTAATACATAAGTAATACAAAAACAAACAAATAATTCTTAATTAATACGGGTAATTGGTTTAATGAAAATTGAAGTTCTTATCATTATAGTGATGCTAAAAAAAAAAAAAAATCAACAAGTAATACCGATACGGATCCAAAATAATCCGGATCAACTTATAAAATGCCGGATAACATTTGGTAACGGCCAAGAAATTATCATATAAATTAATTATATATAGCTTGAATATCCTGAACCACTAGTTGATTAATTAATTTTATATTATACAGCTTGTACATTCATATACACATTGTGAAATGGTAACATACACACCCCGGGTTGTGCTGTGGTCTCAAGGTAGTACAGTCCTAAGTATCCTTGGGATCACGTAAAGATTTTCATAAGTCGAAGAAATAGTTATGATTCGTAAGAATGCTTGATATACACATTATTTAAGTGAATCATAGAAATTGAATGTAAAATAAAGAATAGTTGAGTATAGTAGAAAATTACATTATCTCTGTAATTACAGTATAAGAAAAATAGTGTAATCAAAGCAGCAATACTTTCCCTCAAATAAAGATAGCTCAGTGTGAGTTCAATATTGAAAAGTATCTGGTTCTACTAATCCTCCGATAAGGATTAGTGACCAAATCCCGTTCTATACAAAAAACCCGGGACGTAGTCTAAAACCCTAATTGACCCTAATCACTCAGGCAAAGTCTTTCCACACCTCTATCGTGCCTTACCGTTATTAGAGTTCAGTTAGAGTGATATTTTAATTAATAGTAGAGTAGTTTAATTTGTATTAGTCAGTATTGTAATGTATTTTTGCATTACAGAGTAAATTCGCCTTTCACAACGTGCTAACATGTTTACGCGCTACACTAATTTGGATGTTCATATTTTAAAGCCTATCTTTAAGAAAAGTAACATAATCGAAAGCTATCGAATTTTTTGTGATTGCGATAGTTGCAAATTTATCTCTACTCACCTAGTGGTAATATCCTTATTTATTGAACAATTTTACTGTATTAATGCACTTTAATTTGTTAAATAATTAAAAATTCGACATAAAAACCATTCCAAATTAGTGGATTATTTACTTTAACGATTTATACATAACTAAAATGATTTTGAAAACTCTTGAAATGTTATTTGATAGAACGAGCTTTAAAAACCTTAAAACTTTTATTTAATTTAAAGCAACTGAAATGAAACGATCATATTTAAAGAATTAATAATCCAGTTTTGAAACCCATAAATCAATTCCAGGAACAGGTTTAGAAAAACCAGTAAGTTTCATTGTAACATTAAAACCTTCAACTAACTTAAATTCAAAATTTCTAATAAGCACAGATAACAAAGATTTAAACTCTAATTGTGCCATTTTCATTCCTAAACAATTTCTCGGTCCTGCACCAAAAGATAAGTAATTACTACTTGTTACTTTTGTTTTTATATCTGGATCAAGCCACCGAGATGGTTTAAATTCTTCAGCGTCATCACCCCAAATTAGGGGATCATGGTTGATTGCGTAGATAGGGATCATTATTGGTGTTTCCTAAAGAAAAGTTTTAAAATTATATGTAGCCTATTTATTTATGATCAAACCAATTGCACACTATGAGATATTATTTAAGGAATACCTTTGGAATAAAGTAATCATTCAGTATTTCATTTTTTGAATTATAACGAATGAGTACGGGCACTTTTAATTTATAATAAATAAAATAGAGTTAGAATAAATTAGAGAGTTAAATTAATAGAATAATTCAAAATATGACTTAAAATGATATTGAACTATACCAGGTGGAACAATCCTTAAGGTTTCTTTAAGGACACAATCTAAATATTTCAAAGGATCAATCTCATCAATAGTTGGATAATAATCACGATGAGTTAATACATCAAGTAACTCTTTACGAAGTCGATCTTGAGCATCAGGATTTTTTGCGAGAAAGTATAGTGCCCAAGATAGTGAATTACTAGTTGTTTCATGTCCAGCCATGAGTAATGTCATAACCTACAATTTTAATAAATTTATATTTTAAAAATAAATTTAATAAAATATTCAAATCAAAATTAATTTTAATAAATTCTTACCTGGCTAACTAATTCTTCATGTGTTAATTGTTCATCAACGGGCAAACATTCATTTTTTTTTACCAATAATGATAATAAATCTGTTCCTTGAACAGGGCTATCTTTTCCTTCAGCAACTAATCTCTCAGAAATGTTAAAGATAGTTTTACATGCATCATAATATTGGTTATTATAAGCAGTTGGAAGTTTTCTGATAATTGGAAAGATTTCGACGAGAGCCATGTATAAAGGTGAAGGATTTTGACTAAATAGTGAATGGTATGCACGGGCTAATTCGGAATTTGAAGTTGTAGAATTGAATTCATAATAAAACCCTATTCAAAATTAAATAAAGAAATTTACGATTACGATCGGAAAAGTTATTTATAAAATTTCAATGTATTAAATATATATAAACTAATACTTACCACAAAATCCAATAATATCTAAAGTTATCTTTGGAATCATTTCTGTAATTGAAATTCTCTCCTCTTTCTTGTTACCAATTTCTTCAATCCAGATGTCTCTTAATTTAAAACTAGTTTGAATAAATGTTGGAACCATTTCCTTAAAATTCGAAGTATTAAGAATTAGACAAAATAATTCTTTAACAAGTTGAAATATTAAAAATTATTCAATGCCTTACTATGGTCAGTCTATAAAATAAATCAATTATTTTATAGTATGTTTACGTGATAAAATTATTGATCGTATTTCATAAACTGAGATAGTAAAACATTGAATAAAACCGTTATTGCATGTTCCCGTATGCAATAACTATATGTTATTTCAAAATAATACCTTGACATTAGTAAAAGAAAATGAAGGTGCCATCATTTTTCTTTGTCGTTTATGATCATCACCTTCAGCAATTACAATACCTTGACCTATAAGTTCCTCGGCTCTAGCTTTATTTAAGAAGAACTTTGGATAATCATACGAACGATTTACTAGTATTTGTTGGATAAGCTTTTGATCGGAAATTAAAAGATATGGTTTATTAAACATAGCATGATATTTAACTATCACACCATATTGTTTTATTAAGTGAATAATAGCTTCACCGAAACCTTTATTTAAGAAGGAGGCATAATGTCCAAGAATTAAATTATCAACAGGTGGGCCAGGAACTTTACGCAATGGTGATAAATATAAAGGATAAAAATAGCATTTGTACAAAAAGTAGCTAATAACTGCAACTATTGCAGCCAAATAGTAATACATTATTAGAATATGAAAAGTAAATGAATATAGTATTATTTGCACAGGAATCATTTCAGTTTTTCCCTAAACACTTTATAGTAAATTTCTCACGTTAATATTTCGTTGCACATGTTTAAAAAGTCAATAGAATTTAAAACAAATGTTACACTTCCATTTAAAAAGTTTATATAATATATTTGTTTTTCGTCATCATTTTGTAAATGGTTCACCATAGTGTAACGATAAACTTTGTACCAGTTTATTGTTTTTGATTATAAAAAAAAAAAACAGTGCCTGTTTTACTAAAATTCTGCCGATATTCTCGTACAAGACCCTTATGGAAACTTCTGTTTTTATAAAAGTTCAATATAGTAATTTATAAAAACAACATTGCTTGAATATATTAAAGATTTTAATTAGTAATCCAATTTTTTAATTATAAAAACTTACACATTTTTCATTTTATGGTATCATATTTCATTCAATTATGCCTTTAAAAAAAGAGCAAAAATAAATAAAAACGAAAAATAAATTATTTAATTTCTAATTTCGACCCATTAGCTACACTTAAAATTGAATTCTTGCACTAACGTAAATATCTAGATACGATAAATTTTCAAATATAATCTTTGAATCATTTTTCCATAATAATATCGCAAAGTTCTTCAGCACTAAGTCTATTTTTTAGCTCCTTATCTCGACATTTTTTCTTCGGTACAACATAATTTGTTGTGGTGCTTTGTAAATAGGAAGTCATAAAGTTTCACAAAATATTTTCAATTTAAGTTAATTAAAATCATATAAAGTAGATTTTTCATTTTCTCACATAACTATCCCAGATGAATAAATATCAAATGATATAGTATACTGACTCCATTCAAAACTTTTATATTTATATAAGGTAAAACACCAGACTATCATTTTGTTTAAAATACTGAATCGAAAAACTCAAGTTCGCAATATACGCACTATGTAAAACTTTCTTGCAAAATAGTATCATTAAGTAATATCATTTGGGATTTAAAAATCAACAAATAAGTAGCACATTTCAAAAAATAAATAGCCTTTTTTCAATAATATTTATACTATGCTGAATGATAAATCAAAAAATATAAATAAGATTACAACTGTGAAATTCTCGACAAAGAACCTATCTATATTTGTGTATTGTGACGGGTAAATTGACTTAAATAAAATGATAGAGGAATAATAGATGTTGCACAACTAATCCAGAACCTGGTGTGCGGTATATAAAAAAATTATTTTACAACTAGGTACTTGAGTTGCTTAAGGGGAGTTGGTAATGAACGTACAGTGACAATTACAAATAATGAAACGAAAAAAATGGTCATATCGTATTATTTCGCGCAATTCGGGATGAATTCTCGATTTATTTTTTTTTATTAAATTCGCAATTAGTATCATTTTCATTAATATAATTTTTTTTACAGGCACATGCTCTATTTAAATTGACACGCTGCATTATTTTTTACAGAAGCATAACACAAAATATGAATAATGTTTTTATATCAAAAAAAATTTTTTTTATTTGTTTTTCACCTTTACAATTAGATGCAATTATCTTGAGCTCTAATTACATCACAAATTGGCATTGATATTGACTTAATCGGGTCCAATTTTCTGTGAAACTTTTCAAATATTCTTTCAAAGGTTTTGTTCACTTGAAATTTGATCAAGAAGATTTCTAAAATACTGGTTAACCTCAATTCACAAGTGTTTAATAGGGTTGAAATCAGATAATTGGGGAGGTCATTAAAAAAATTTAGTCTTATTTTTTTTAAGTAAATATTTGTCAAAGTTGTAATATATAAAGGTGTATCATATTATTAAAATATCATATTCTTAATGTTAAAACTATAATTTTTGATAATTTCTAAAACATCTTTACTAAATATTTATTAGTATAACTTATTATCTATTACATTATTAATTTAAAAGTTATCAACTTTATAAGCGATAAAACAAATCTAAATTACTTTCAAAATTTACTGTAAATTTAATATGTATAAAACTGTTTTAATAATTTTTAAGATATTTTTAATAATACTATTTGTTATCTAATTCAAAAAATTTGAAACTTTAATTTATTAGATCAAATTATCTTAGATCAATCTTTGACAGTCTAATTTTTATATTTTTTTATAATAGTTACTTAGATAATTTTTTTCTATTTCTTAATACTAAATCATATTTATAAAATATATAACAGATAGTAGTCTTAGAAATTTTAAGGTTTTTATTTATTTTTAAATAGATTGTATTTACATAGTATTATAATACAAATAGAGAATAATTAAATTTACAATTTATTTTTTAAATTAGGTTATTATTTTTAGTAAATGATTAATCTTTTCTAAATCTTTAAATATATAGTTTTTTAATTAATTTTTACTTATTTGTAAAACTATAGAAGAAGAAATATAATAATTGCAACTTAATTGTATTGTGATATATTTTTTATAAATTAAAAATAATATTTAAACTCTTTGAACAAAAGTTATATATATTTTTTTTAGTTTGATTATCAATTAGTTTTAACATTATATAAGATATAATTATTAATAAAAAATTACTTTTATATATATTTATATTTACAAATTATATATTTTAATTTTTATTAAAAATAATTAAAAATAATATATATATAATTATCTTTATAATAATAATAATTATTATTAAAATTCTAATTCTAAATTATATAAAATAATATAATTATTTATTTTTTTATTTTATGATATATAATTATTACTTTAATATATTGTATTATACTAATACATTATATAACAAATTTTGATAAATATTTATATATTTATATCTAAATTATTAGATCTTAAAAAAATATTCTAGTTAGATAAATAATCTTTAAAAAGAATATATTTTTTATTATTTCTGTAAATAAAAAATTTATTATTATTAATTATATTTATAAAATAGAAGTATAAATATTAAGTTAATAATCAAAAATATATTATCAATTAAAAAGATTTATTAAAAATATTTTATTTACTTGATACTTAATATTTATTAATTATTATTTATTAGATTTAAAGCAAACATTATATGTAAATAATTTATAAATAATTAAAGTAATTTTAGTAGTAATAATAGTTTATAATTATATTCTAATTAATAATAATAATTATTATATTTTATTATTTACTATATACAATCATTAAAAAAACTCTTCCCTGTAGATCCCTCGACCAAAAACTCTAGGAAAGAAAACATAGAAAAACTCAGTAACTAGACTA